GAGAAAGAGAGAGGAAAGAGGAAGACCTTCTTTCTTCAACTGCTCTAACCACTCTACTAAAATGGGGAAAGTGTATTTGTTTTTCTAATTGATCTAATACCTTGTCTTTATAACATCATCTTAATATTTTTCTTCGCATGTTTTTGTCACATGCAAAGTGTCTTCATGCAGAAATTGCCCGTGTTATTATATGATTTTTTTTTGTAGGGTTTTGGATGTGGATCATATGCTTTCGTTTTTGGGAGATTTTGGATGGGAATTGCTAATATCAGCCAAGTGCAGAGTTCAACAACTCCTATGTTACCAGCCTCGTGTCTATGTTTTCATCTCACCAACTCGTTGAGTTTAGTCGGCAGGAATAGTGCACAAAATAATCTCACTACATATAGCTTCTGAAAAACAAAACATAGGACAACGAAAGTATTAGAGAGGTCATTTTATGTGTTAAAATACCTTATATCGTTTGTCTACAGGGTTTATATACTCTTTATATATGTGTGTGATTTCTCTTCACTTGAAAACTTAAACTTTTGAGATGAACTTTCTAATAGTATTAATCAGGTATAACTGCGTAGAAATCTTTGAATTGAATCGGGTGGATCTTATATAATGATATATCGGGTCAGCTTTTAGTATGCATTAAAAACTTAAACTTTTGGGATGAACTTTCTAATAGTATGAATTGGGTATAACCGTGTAGAAATCTTTGAATTGAATCGGGTGGATCTTATATAATGATATATCGGGTCGGCTATTAGTATGCATTGTATCCACGATACCCTCTTTAGGGAAATGTAAGAATTTTTCCAAGAATCTGATAGATATAGCGTTTGTCGTTTGGACAAAATTTTCAAAGTTGTCATTATGCAAAAGTAATTAACTCATCTTCTTTGTTTCATGGGCAAAAAAACACGTCCATGTTTTGGATTGAGTGGTGCATTTATCTACCACTTTATTGTTTTCTTTCACATTCCACTTGCTCCAACTGATGATGATATCGTTTCCAGTGAGAAAGTAGACGATGCAAAATGGACTTATGTGCAGAATTCAATTACTTGACCTAGGGTTTTCAGCCAAATTTTGTTCCTTTCTTAAAAATCAAAATACCTAAACTTGTAAGTAACGCGACCCATATATTCTATGCATTAAATAGAATGATGTATCACTCTCGCAAAGCCATAGGCACGATATGGATGAGCAGAGGAGTGATGAGGGGGATGAGAGCAGCAAATTTGGGTTGGCATTAGGAAACTATCGGGAGGAGTTGTTGAAAGTGATGCGATACGTATGGTTCATAATAATAATCATTTATTAAACATAATCTTCTTTTTCCTGCTCCACTTAGATATAAACAATTTAAATTCCACAGCTTTAGCCAAAGTTATATTCTTTGAGGATCAGCTTTATCGGAATCCTAAGCTCTCAAATGCATAATAAGAACAATGGCCTTTCGACCAAAAAAAAAAGAGAGCATAATATTTGGAGGGTTTATTAGATAAATCCATTTTTTTAATTTTTTTGGGTATTAAATATATATTTTTATAAGTGAGCAAGCGAATCCGAGTTTATGTGAACTATGCAAACCTAATGTTTATTTATCTACTAGCGCTAATAAAATTAGTACGAATATCTTTGGATGGAGTTCGGAAACCGGTTCCCTAAAAAAAACACCCTCTATTTGGAGGGTTTGCATTTGGTTACGAAGAAAAACTTTAGGTGTGTTTGGGAACATAATTGCCAAAGTCCTTTGAGCTTCTAAAGACCCTCATGCTCATTGTAAAATGTATTGTATTTCTAAAGGCCTTTAGCTCAAGGCCACTACTTATCAGAATTGGGCATTCGGCATTTTTAGAATGCTGAATAATTAATGATATTTTTTAGTGCAATTCATAAGATAAAGATTTGTTATCCCCAATTCTAATCTTATATGCTGTTTTCATTAAATTGCGATATGTATCAACTGATTGAGTTTAACCTTATACAAATGTGCATCATCCTAACACCCTCCTCCTCCCCTTCCCCTTCCCTCTCCACCTTGCAAACTTGCATCTCCCCCTCGTCAATGAGTTCCACGGCTATGGAGCAGTTGCTGCTTCCAGATCCGAAGTCCGCGGCCTCATCGGCCAATAGGAAGGTCCAAATGGTGTCAAACTATGCCATAAGCAACGAGTTCTATATCAGCATCAAACCGAGAGAGAGAGAGAGAGAGAGAGAGAGAGAGAGAGAGAGAGAGAGAGAGAGAGAGAGAGAGAGGAGTGTAAATGAGCTCCAAATAAAATATCAATGGGTCACCATCTAGAACTTGAGACAACATATGAGACTTGCTTAGGAGATCTTCAAAGCATGATTAGACATTTCAATAAGGGCACGAATGAAAATCATTCTCTTCTTCGATTCAATTTCTAACTAGATTTTTCAATTTATATTCCCTAAACTAGTTTTTGAGCAGCCTCACGCACTTAAATAATATATGTACATAATTTCAAATCGAGAGAGCTAATGATTTAAAGATATTTTTAGTCCAATGAAAAGTTTTTGTCACGTCAATTTTCTTTTCTTCCTTTTTTTTTAAATGATGGTACAACAATCATCTGTGATCCATAATATTTGCTGGCTATATAAAGGTAATTTTGTTGCTTATGTGCTTTATAGTAGAGTCACTAGCAGTCTAGCTCCGTGCAATGCGCCGCATATTTGTTGACAAAATGTACAGAGACTTGAACAGTCTCATGCACTTGAATAACATATGTTCATAATTTCAAATCGAGAGAGCCAATGATTTAAAGATATTTTTAGTCCAATGAAAAGTTTTTGTCAAGTCAATTTTCTTTTCTTCTTTTTTTTTTTTAATGATGGTACAACAATCATCTGTGATCCATAATATTTGCTGGCTATATAAAGGTAATTTTGTTGCTTATGTGCTTTATAGTAGAGTCACTAGCAGTCTGGCTCCGTGCAATGCGCCGCATATCTGTTGACATAGTGTAGAGAGACTTGAGATTTTTATGTGGACTTTAGATAAGCTCACTGTAGATGAGTTGACTATGTTTATTCCCGGAAAAAACTCTTCAATTATCTAACACTACATGAAAATATAGAGGGCGTTTTCCTAACTTTTCTCTCCCGTTATGCCCTTCACAACTCGCGCCCTTTGAAATGCCAATAGAAACCCCTCTTCATGCACACATAGCTGTGTTTCATTATCCATAACATGTAAAAGGAAAAAAAAAACAAAAAATCTCAAACTATATCTATTATGACATATTTACTTGTAACTTTTTATGTGACATTAAATACCCCAAATTGTGCTTCCGGTGACACATTTTTCCTAAACTTTTTCTTGTGACATAAAAAACCTCAAACTTATACTTATGTGACGCATTTACCTTCCATTAAGGTTCCGTCAGATAATTTTTCTGTTAAAACAACGTCGGTTCTATTTCACTTATGCCAAGTGAGCGCCATATCAACAACGTTTGCATTTCGGTGACAACATAGGCAAGTTTTTAACGGTCTGCATTGACGAAGGGTAAATGTATCATACAAGTACAAATTTTGGATTTTTAGCATCATGGAAAAAAGTTTAGGGTAAATATGTAACATGCATAATTTGGAATAATTTGTGGCTTTTGCCCTAGGTAAAATCAAGAGAAGATCCTTTCACTCTATAGTTGTTGAACCAATAGCAGTCTTCATTTTCCTAACTACTAACTATCAGCATTTACTGACTATGAAAATTTTTCAAGCTGTCTTCTTCGGTTTTGTCTCTTGAGGGAGCGAAAGCGAGTCTTCATTGGGCAACCCATCACTGCTTTTAGACTCTAACCAACTGGATTTGTCCATGATCAGGAGCAAACTTGGATGGAACCAAACGGGAGTCAGACACAAGTGAGATTAAGGGTCCGTTTGTTTCAAGGAAAGTATTTTTTGGGAATTTATTTTTTGGACTTTCACCCGTTTGGTTCACCGAAAATGATCAGTCGACCGAAAATACTTTCCGATCAAGGAAAATATTCATGTATAAAATTAGAAAAGTGAATTTCCTAATCTAAGAAGGTGAAAATACTTTCCGAAATTGCTTCCCTTTACTTTTTTAATATTTTATTCTTTTTTTTCTTTTTAATTTTAAAAAATAAAAATATTTAAAAATTCGAATTTTTTTTTGGCATGAGATTAAATCATCGGATTGAAATCATTTTCCAAATGGGATCCAAACACCAGAAAATATTTTCAATCACATATCACCAAACAAAGGAAAGCTAACTATTTTCCTGGAAAAATGATTTTCCGGAAAATATTTTTCAAAAATATTACATTTTCCGTGAAACAAACGCACCCTAAGAATTGACAGATAAGTTATCTGTACCAATCGTCAGAAGTCTCTTATTACTACCATGTTGAAGCCACCCATGCAAACTCAACTCTGACATTATTTCAATGGCATTCCTTGGGCAACATGAAGTAGCAGTGAATTTTGGAGAAAGGCGAGAGACGATTTCAAAAGGAATAATTATACAAATAGTCCATGAACTTTAATCCAATATGTAATGTGATTTTGAACTTTTAATTCATTCAATGTGGTTCTTAAACTTTAGCCCAATGTGCAATATGGTTCCTGAAATTTTAGTATATGTCCAGTTCAGTACATGAATTATATGAATATAGTCAATATTGTTCCTCAACTTGCATTGATAGAAAGACAATATTAAACATATTCTTATAGTTCGGGACTGAATCAAATATGTACCAAAATTTTTGGGATCATGTTGAGTAAATTAAAAGTTCAAAAATGATATTATATATTTAAGATAAAGTTCAAGAATCATTCGTGTCATTTTCCCGTTTCAAAATGCATGAACGGAGGCAGAGGTCCTTTTCTTCACATAGTGGCCATAAAACAGGCCAAGAACAACTCCATGGGCCTTCACTATTCAAAGGACCAGAGCCCCAAGGGTGAAGCCCAAGCCTCCATGGGCTTCTTGGCTTTTGAGTTGGTAGTGAGAAAAGGGGCATCTCTCGCTTTCAGACGGTTCTTGATCGTCGCCTTCGGCGCGCCGTCGCCGTCCATGGAGCTTTCGCTTGATTCGGCGGAGCGTGATCAATGATGATTCAACTGGGCCCCCACCAGTGTTGACATGAAGCGCCATTAACACGAATTAGCCGTTGTGAAGAAAGCGCTGAAGCAGAGCAAGCTCCGTCTGAACAGAGCAAAAGCAGAGAGCCAGTGGTCTGTAGTGTAGAAAACTGTGCAAGAACCCAACGAAATCTTCACACCCACCACCGCAAATCCGTAATCTCGACGAAACGTCACATACCCAGAAGAGGAAGAAGACGGAGAAGAAGGAGGAAGGAAGGCATGGCCGACTTCTCCTACCTTTCCGACACCGACGACTCCGCCGTGGAAGAACTCATTTCCCAGACCAAGGACCTGTGCGTCCTCGAACAGATCGCCGCCATCAACTGCTCCTCCTTCGCCGCCGCCGCCGCCGACGACGGCGGCGACACCCTCTTGCCGTCCGACCTCGAGTCCCGTTTCCGCAAGCTCAAATCCTTCCCTCTCTCCAAACCCCAAACGGCGCTCCGGAGCTCGAGCAATCGCAAGACGGAGCCGGCGCTCGACGGGGAGGCTCGGCCTAAGCCGGACGCGAAGCCGGAGGATCCGCGGGGGAATGGGCGCGGTTCGTCGGGTTCCGATTCTTGGAATTCGTCCGCGGAGGAGGTGGTTTTCTCGCCGGCGGTGCGGAATCCGGACGAGAAATCGCGCGGGGAGCACACTGTGGAGTACGATCCAGTCTATTCGCCGACGTATCATTCCGATACGTCGAAGAAGTCGAAGTCGAAGACGAAGGCGAAGGCGAAGTCGCCATCGCCATCGCCCCCGAGGAAGGCCGGCTGCTTCTGGTGCTCGCCGAAGAAGCCGACACCCAGGAAGCGGGACGAATCTAGGGCTATTGAGAAGGGGATGAGCAGGAGCTTTAAATGGATGGAGGAAGACGAGGTGTTGTCGGATTTGGGGGGCTTCTCCGTGAAAGAGCAGAAGAAGTTGCTGAAGAAGGCAATGAAGGAGGAGGAGAGGATAAGCCGCGAGGCGGAGAAGATCGCGAGGATGGCGAGGCAAGCATCAGCGAGGATGATGAGCGCTTCAAGGACCGGCGGCAATTCGAGCGACGACGATTGAATGAACATCTTGTCTGGTTTTGGGCAAACTTGAGTGAATGCAAAAATGCAATCTTGATGCAGTATATAAGTGAAGGGCTATGTGGGTAATGCAATGTTGTGCCAGACAGGGTTTTCCATGTTTTTGCTTGTAAATTTTGCTTGAGTTCTGCTTGAGAAAGTGCTGATGCAATACAAAGATAAGTCTTTTTTTGTTAAACTTGTAAAGAAGTCTGTTTTCTCATTGATGACTCCCACAAATTTCCTCTGAATTTTTGTGTTGCTTGTTGCAACTTATATGCCAATCTTTTGGGAAGAGCTTGAGAGGGTTGAATAGGTGAAAATGTGAGCATTTTGATCATCTGCAGACCAGGCACAAAGAGATTGCTGAGTTGGATAGAATGATGAAGAGAGAGCCCATCTTCATTGTGATTCTTCACTTGGCTAATGATCTTGCCTTGATAATTTGCAGCAAATTAAATCTCTACTGGGTTTCGGGGAGATGGTGAATTCTATTTTCTGCATTGGTGCATTCTAATGTGCTTCTGCTCTCAGGCTTGGTAGAGCCTTACCAGGAAGTCTGGACTGCACTTCCTTGGTCTTTGCTTGCAATATGAGCATGGACTGAAGTACAGATCTAACATATGTATAACCCGAGGAGCGCGAGGATTGTGGTATGCCGAGCGAAGTTCTTTCCTTCTTGCAGTTACTATAAAAAAGGAAAACACAAGATCATCAGACGGTTTGAAATGTCACCATGGGTACAGCGGACAGCATTGATTCTTAAGGAACTCATCGTTTTCTATCGCCTTCATATTTTCTCGGAACAAGAAATAGGAATGTAGGAAGATCAGGGAATTCGTGGTTCACCATTCGCAGAAGCTTTCCACAGCTGAATTTGCTACAATGCGCGTCTATTGCAGATGGGATTCATCTAAGGATTTTGAATGCTTAATTGGGGGTAATTCTGAAGAACAAGTGCACCTTTGTATTTCCGAGAACATCCACACAAAGAACAATTCAGAATCAGCTTGGCTTCGCCCTTTCCAAAGGACAGCACTTCTCAATTAATTAAGTCAAACAAACCACCAAGCTTCTTATATGCAGAGTACGCATCTGAGCTGAACAAGAGATTGATTCATAGTACTTAGTGCCAGTGTTCTGCTTCCGGCACCCGACTTCAACCTATGATTTTGCATTCGTTTCGATGATTTCTGTCCTAGAAGTTGGAATCTGTTGATTTCCTCAAACAAAGCACAACAGAATTCAAGAACCCGATATAATTGATACACAAAAATGAAACATTTTGTTGAATTATGAACAGATTGATGTATGATTAGCTAGCTACATAACCAAAAGACCATTATTCGGCATCCTTTTCATCTCGAATTGAAACCTTCATCCGCGCCGATTCCTGCCTCACCCACACATCCACCTTCTCGGCCTCCCTCCTTGCTCTCGCCTCCTCTTCCCGCGCGATCTTCAGCCTCCTCTCCTGTTCCTGCACCGAGAACGTGCTCATATCCGACAGCATGTCCTCGTTCTTTCCCCAGTTCGGCTCTTCCATGTCCGACCTCAAAACTCGTTTCCCCGCTCTCTTCCGTCGGCCGCCCTTCGCCGGCGAGAACGAGAAGCAGCAAATCAGCCTCTGCGGTGGCGACGCCGGCTCCATCAGACGAAATTCAAGAACAGAGGAAAGCGCTAAGCCAGGTTCACAAATTTACACTCCTGCATCAAGCTCGGTCAATGAAATTGTCTCCTGACCTTGTGCATATGCCTCATGGCCATGGGATGTTTGACATGGAGAGTTCAATTGGAGAAAGCGAAGCAGATCATGGAATATTTGCAATCTGAAGGAGATAATTTCTTTCCTGAAGAGGACAATATCAAATTGTGCTCCTACCAGATTGCTTGTTGATGACAGAGATGATGAGGTCAAGGGCCCCATTAAGCACTAAGTCAGTATCATCCATTCACCATCTTCTAAATTGTCTTGATGAGAATTTGGCCAATGAAATTGGCATGCTGAGTGGGCTAGTTGGTGACCAGCTCACAACAATCTCTAATAGTTTAATAATCTCGCTTAGAAACAAATAACAAATGTATAATTATTTTTGCAACTCATGTGCAAAAATAGAATTCATTAGCAGCATGCAAATTCTCCCCTCAAAAGTTAGGGGTGTGCATTGGTCCGTTCCGACCTGGTCCGATACTGGACCGGACCGTCCCATATTACTTATTTTTTTTTAAAAAATTAATTCTGAAGTAAACCCTAAGTTGGTAACTTAGGTTTCAATTTTCACTGAAATAAAGTAATGACTTCCATATATATAGAAGCAAACCTACGCATTTCTCCATAATTTTGACTGTCCATGATGCATATATACACATTCTTTTATTATTAAACACATGTTGGTGCGATACCATGTAAAAGAGTAATCACCACAAAATCTAGTTGAAAACTAGTTGGTCGTCAATTAGCGCCCCACACCTGATCATTTAAACGTTTATCTACCGAACAAACCTAAAATAATGCTCTCTCTTTTTTTTTTTAATGTTTGGAGACTCCCACTTGTAGAAAATAGAAGGAAAAAAAAAAAAGAATCACCAGTTCCAGCGGTCCGGTTCCAAGATTGAGCGGGCTGGTTCCTAGTTCCACAAACTGAAATCAACCTTGCCCGGTCTAGTTCCAGGTTCTAGGGTGGGCCAGTTCCTACGTGAGCGCCATGTCAACATCGTTTATTTTCTAACGTCCATTTAGGTAAATTTTTAACTATTCTTATTGACGGAACTTTGACGGAGGATAAATGTGTCATACAAATACAAGTTTGAGATTTTTGGTGTCTTGGAAAAAAGTTTAGGGTAAATATATCATAATGGACATAGTTTATGATTTTTGGTTGCTTTTACCCTTATAATTATACTCTCCAGTGCTTATTATCACTTTTATGTTTAATTTACAAAATCTATGATTTGGTTTTGGTTTGGTTATGTGATTTAGCAAATTACAGAATTAAGAAATTGAGATTCAATTTGATGCTATAGATATTCTGATATCATAGATATATTGTAACATTGTCTGAAGTCCAAAGATAGTCCTTCGTATTATGGCATTTCTCCTTCAACTTTTCTTTTTGTAATCAAAACCTTTCCGTCTTTTTTCCAAAGAAAAACTAAGGAAATCAATAGAAGTTGAACATGTTTGGTAATCTTTAAACTTGCCGCATGATCCAGAGGTTCATGTCCTACCACACAATGTTGGAAAGGGGTGTCGATTTTTCTTTCTTGTTCTTAGTTAGATTGATGAAAATTCTACATTTTCTTTTTGGTCGGTCCTACTCTAACTCTCCGCTCACCTTAGACTTTTGTCCTACCTTTTACAAGACGTGGGAGTCGAAACCCACATCTTAAACTACACGTCTCCATCCCTAACCCCCTAAGAAAGTGGGGAATTGAACTTCCACCTCTCTCTTCCCAAGTAGACAAGGTGGCCACTAGGGCAAACCCCAGTGGTTTGAAAATTCTACATTGACTTGCTCATATACTTACCTACATTACTTGAGCTCATCCTAAAATTCCCCACTAAAACTGTGAGTATTCCAAAAGTTTAGATTGCAAGAGAACAGTAACTCTTGCATGTTTTGTGTATATCTTAAACTCCCCTATCATGTAAAGGCTCGGACAATATAGCTTGGAGCACGCCAATTTTGTGTGTGTCGATACTTAAAAAAATGTAACAACCCGGTCCGTTAGTCGAGGAGTGATATTCGGGTGACAGAGCCTGAATAATGAGCGGCTTGCGGTAGACTCCTAGGATGGTGAAAGAGGCAAGAATGACAGAGGGAGAGCATTCTTGGATTATACATGTAAAGCTGGAATTAACCAATAAGATGCGTCTCATAATGTAACGGCAATATTTAGCATTGGAACTCCGTTGTTAGGCATGCTTCGGTGAGAGTACTGTCAAGATGGGTGAAGTGTTTACTTGTACGCTATAGATAAAGCCGTGAGGCAATGATGTGGGACGGGTTAAAATAGAGAATATCTCGAGTGAGTTGATTAAGGGGTGTCACAAAAAAATTTAAAAAGTTGACCGGTTTTTTTTCTCTGAGTTGGGCAAAGAGAGTTCCCCTTGTACACCATTGATTGCATACGTGAGTTATATACACATTAATTACATATCTTCAATTCCTACTAATTAACATCCTTCACATTAAATGACCCAATCAAATCTCTTAATATATAATTTTAATCCATGGCATACTATATAATTCATGCAGATACTCATCGGCTTTTGACCTCCCATGCACATGAAAAAGAACCCATCTTTATTAATACATTTTGGGTTTATTACCTGAACCAATTGCAACCTCACTTATATACACACTACAGGAAGAAAGAGGTGAATCTATATGTCTATGTGTATGTGTATTGGCATGTATGCGCTTTCATTTGCCCACTGACTGACGAGAGAAACAGTGGCCATGTTAATTGAATTTCATGCAGAAACCAGATTCTTTTCCGGGAAAAAAAGGCTTATGGACTTCCCTGAGAAATCAGTGGTTACCAACCAGATCGCTTGCCGGGAACAATTTCTTACCGTCTTCTTCAACGTTTGACCTTCCATGTCGCCAATGAACCAATCTCCTTTATATAAACCCTCTTTTGATACACAACCATCTAAATAACATCTGAGCATCGTTAATCATGGCGACGCCTGATGAGCTATCGCGTCCTCTTTGCAGCGCCGCCCTCCTAGTCCTTCTCTGTCTACTGGAATCCGCTGTTGGCAGAAGCGGCGGGTTCACTGCCGACCTGATACACCGCGATTCGCCGTCCTCTCCATTCCACGACCCCTCCGCAACTCACTCTGACCGCATGCGCAGTGCAGCCTGGCGCTCGATCTCTCGTGCACGTCGCGTCTGGGCCAGAGATAGTTTGAATATTCAATCCGAGATGACCTACAGTGGTGGCGAATACTACATGAAGGTGTCGATCGGGTCACCTCCCTTTGAGACGCTCGCGATCGCCGACACGGGTAGCGACCTCTCGTGGACACAATGCGAGCCTTGCATTGAATGCTACCGCCAAAATCCGCCAATCTTCGACCCGCGGAACTCCTCCACGTACGAAACTGTCCAATGCCTCACGAGGTTGTGCCAGTCCTTGGACGGGGTCAGGTGTGGCGGTGACGATGGAGGCGTGTGCAAGTACAATTACACATACGGCGACGGGTCCTTCACAAGTGGTGACATGGCTGTGGAGACCTTCAGGATGGGAACACCCCCCGGCGGCACGATCACCGTCCCGAGGATTGCTTTCGGATGTGGCTACAACAACGGTGGCATCTTCGCCGATGCCGGCTCAGGCATTATCGGTCTCGGCGGCGGCCCCTTCTCGTTGATCTCCCAAATGGAGGGCTCCATCGGTGGCCAATTCGGCTACTGCCTCGTCCCTGTGTTTAGTAAAGGCACGAGCAAAATCAGCTTCGGCAAGGACGCTGCGGTCTCTGGCCCGGGTGCCGTCTCGATACCTCTTGTCTCAGAAAGCCCTGACACGTACTACTATGTAAACCTAGAAGGCTTCAGCGTCGGAAAAGCAAGGTTCTCATATGGCGACAACTCCGTCGGATCAGAAGCCAAGGAGTCCGAAAAAGTCGCGAACATGATGATTGATTCCGGGACGACCCTAACATTCATGCCGTCTCAATTCTTCCATAACCTGGAGAGCGCCGTGGCTGAGGCCATCCCCTTGCCAAGAGTCCCAGACCCCCACGGCATGCTCGACCTCTGCTACAGGAGCCCGGGAGGCGAGATCGATGCGCCGGTCGTGACGCTACATTTCGCAGGCGGCGCTGATATGGCACTGAACACGGTCAACACGTTCGCGCAGTTCGCACAGGATCTGGTGTGCTTCACGATAACGCCAACGGACAGCGTGCCAATACTCGGGAACCTCGCACAGATGGAGTTCAAGGTTGGGTTCGACTTGCGGAAGAGGATGGTGTCGTTCATGGCCACGGATTGCACAGCGCAGTGACATAGTTTGAGGAGGAGTTGCATTTGGAAAAATAATGGCTTGTTTTTTTGCTTTTTCTGGTTTATGGTCGGCCTTTTACACAAGATCTGTATAGATTAAGAAGGTTGATTCGAATGAGCTTTACCCATGTAAACTAATTATTTCGCTTAACATAGTATTATACTAGGTTGCAAAATTTGAAAATGCAAGTTGATGCAATCCGAATTACCCTGATGCTAGAGGAATTAACCGCAGGAGCATTTGCATATGGAAAAATCATGTAATGTGCATATTTACAAATGACTAACCTAGATGTGATGTCGAATGCAAAGGGTATCATATTCACTAATTCAGTGAATGAGACCTATGTAGGGCTTGAGCACCTATAATGTGACATCAAATTTGCCATCAATCCCTCTGCTAAATCTTAAATTCTATCATGCAAGTCGGACACTAATTTCAACCTTGCGCAGACAATGAGAGAGTCTCAAATGCATATAAAGCAAGTTAGGATCATGTGAGGGTCAACATGAAGTGTCAAATGATTCTTAAGGACCCATCATGAGATTGACAGAAACTATAAACGTAATAATAAACGCCTAAGAACATGAGATTACAACTTGAATTGGTCGGTCGATATATTTTATTTATAATGAATTAACAATAAAACACTCCAGGAGTCCTTCTTAGTGCAATGTCAAAAACTGTCGCTTTGAGCAGAGCCCGGAGAGATACTACTTGAATTGGTCAGTTCTGTTGATTATGATGTGATTATGAATTAGTGAACGAACAACGTGACAACAATGACATTTACGCCCAAAAGAATGGAGTCAAGGAGATGATCTTTTTAATTTTTATCGTAATAATTTCTACAAAAACATTTTTAAATAAATTTTATATTTAAATATAATTAATTCATCATTACTTGATACAATTAATTTTATATGCTCACGATATATTTTTGCGCAAATTAAAACAATAATCTCTTATTCATCGAATTTGGAAAAAAAATAAATAAAACAGATGCTTGTGAAAGAAGAATCCTCCATCGATATCTTGTCTCTTCGGTTTTTATATATGTCTCTCTTGATTCTTGCGAATATAATTTTAAAAAAGTCATAAATAATTATCCAATTTCTTTTATCTGTAGCTTTTTCCTCTTGAACTTTTTCTTTGGTTTAGAGCGATATTGCCAGCCTTTTCAATCCAATTTTATTTCTGGCCTTGACTTTGTTATTTTACTTTGACTCTATAGAAATGAAAGAGACTTTTCTTCCTTCGCGAGAAATGGGATGAGTCTCAGGAGAAAAATTAAATTGCAAATGGCTGAGTTTCATATTTCATCTCTCTCTCTCTAGTATCTGCCCTGTCTATGGGTTCCGATATTTAGTAGAATTCCACAATTAGATTTTGGAAGTAGCAAATGACCTAAATTAGATTCCCTATCACAGCCAAGAAGTGAATGTGAGTGCTTACATTAGAACATAGATTGCCAATGTACATGTCACGTTATATGATGATATAATATTTTCTTCTAGGAAAAACAGTCAGCAATATAAAATAGCGACAAAGAAAAGAGCGTCTACATGCAAAACTTACCAAAAACACAAGTTCACGTGAAGCAAACATAAATCCAAATCATAGAAATTCGTAACAATTTTTAATATAAGCCAGACACACGACAATTACTAACCAATGCCATATTAGTATTTGACTGCATGCACAAGGCACAGCTCCTTATTCGTTAGCGCCTTCCCAATCTTTTCCATCTTTTTCGCATTCTTTTGGAGTAGTGCAAGAACCACCTGCTCTTCTCGTCAATGATCAAATTCCCTAGCACAACGCCGACCATAAACCCAACTCCAATGCCAATTAGCACAACTTTCCAATCCAAGTCGAACAGAGATTGTTCGCCATTTTCTTCCTCGAGAGGCGGTGATATTGGTACTATATCCACAGTCGTTCTGCAGTTTTTTGGCAAAGGACTTCCACATAATCCCTCATTCATGGCATATGAATCTATCCCGAATGTGTTGAATTGACTCCCTTGTGGTATTCGTCCCGACAGTCGATTATGAGAGACATTGAAAGATGAAAGGAATGTAAGCTGGACTAGCTGTTGAGGGATCTCCCCTGAGAGCTTGTTTTGAGAAAGATCTAGAGATTCAAGGATTGTCAGATTTGCCAAGGAAGGTGGAATGCAACCGGTGAGAATGTTGTTTGAAAGGTTAAGCCAAATAAGTGACTTCAAATCTCCAACGAGATCAGATATGTGTCCTTCGAATTTATTATTGGAGAGGTCAATTCCCATAAGGGCATATGGAACCTTCGAGTATTCCCTCTCTATGCCTTTATTCATCAATCTCATTTCATATTCTGCAAATATTGAATTCTGGGATGGACCATAAAATTGCACAATACCTATATATTGCAAATGATCTTGAGCAACAATTACTTTCATGGCATGGAAACTCTGCAACAACTTGGAAGGAAGTTCACCATTGAATCTATTGTTGGAAAGGTCCAGGATATGCAAATTGCTGAAGTTAAACTGGCTTCGATGTGCTTCTATTGGACCATGGAACTTATTGGATTTCAAGATAATAGCTTTCAGCTTGGTCAATTCTAATAGGCCTAAAGGGAACCCGTCGAGAATTTGATTGTAACCAAGGTTCAAATACTCCAGCATCGTACAATTCGCCAAAGATCTTGGGACGGGCCCTTGCAATCGATTCTCTGTGAGGTCAATCATCTTCAATGCACAACCTTTTGGATAAGCATGAGGAATCATGCCCTCAAGTTTATTTTTCCCGAGATTCAAAATTGACAAAGAATCAATATTTCCCAGACATGAGGGAATTGTGCCATTGAGACTATTGATGGACAAATCAAGAATGACGAGGGATCTTCCTCTACAAATAGATTGAATTTCTCCAAAGAGGAAGTTGTTGGAGATATTATAATAATTTACGGATGGAGGTGGAGTGGGGAGTGCTGTTTCAAGCAAGTTCGAACTAATGTCAAGATAGCTCAACTTGGGTAGTGGCAAATTGATCCGGTTGTTTTCAAAGCCAATTAGAAAATTGTGAGAAAGATCCATATAGATCAAGGATTCTCTGCTACCTTTCCACATCCACGTAGGAATACTCCCTTTGATTTTGTTGTGTGCTAGAGTTACCCGCTCTAATCTGCTTTGGTAGCCTAAAAACTTTGGGAACTCATGTAAGTTGCATGACTCTAATCTTAACCAGAAAAGTTGTGGAAGGGTGGCATTGATCTCGGTCTTGCTGACAAAAGATGTTGTTGAAGTCCAAAAATAAATATTTCAAGTTCTTGAGTTTGTGTGAATCCACAGTGCCACTCAAATTATTCCCATAAAGATTCAGAATTTCAAGATCCTTGAGTCCCCATAATGAGTTTGGAATTTCACCTTGCAAATTGTTGGATTGAAGGTGAAGCTCAACCAACTGCGTCTGGTTCATAATTGAAGATGGAATTCGACCACTTAGCTGAACACCTGCCAAATGTAAACATACCACACTCGTTAGTTTGGCTACTAATTGAATCTTGTCATTTCCTTTTCTGTTTTTCTTTATTGACAAAATAATCTTGCTATCTGAATATTACCTGAAAGCTTCAAATGGGTGAGTTTTGCCAAGTTGACAAGCCAATGCAAAATATGATCACCAGTGAAATTATTGAACGAGAGATCTAGATATGACAGCTGGGAAAGGTTAGCGAAGGAAGCGGGGATTTCACCTTGAAATTTGTTGTATGATGTATCCAGAAGAGCAAGTTGAGAAAGATTACCTAGTGAAGTGGGAAGTGAACCCGAGAAATAACTATTCCCAATTGATAACTCATTTAACAAAACAAGGTTTCCTATCGACATAGGTATTTCCCCTGAAAAGTTCGTGCCCTGAAGAGACAATGATTTCAGAGGACTACCCCACTGTTTTTCTGGAAAAAAACCAAAAAGGTTGAAATTGACACTGATGTCGAGAATTTCCAGGTTTGGTAACTCAAAGATGCTTACCGGAAATTCTCCGGTCAATCCACATACTACAAGTCTAAGCGACTTCAAAGAGGAGAAGTTTGCAAGTACATGGGGGAATGGCGATAACATGCTTACACGAGAGAGATCAAGTTCTCTAAGCATAGTTAAGTTTTGAACGAAGTTGTCTATGTCGGACAACTCAAGAGTAATCAGCTCAGAAGACAAGTCAAGAGAAATTAACCTCGAGAGCCGCGAGATATCTGAGGGGACTTTCCCAAAAAAGTCCGAATTTGAGAGATTAAGGTACTGTAACCTAAAAAGCCGTATGGAATTGAGGAAAAGTTGAAGTCATTCAAAGCGAGATTGATTGATTCCAAGTGGAGTAGGCGAAAGAGGCTAGTGTTGGAATTTACGGTACCAAAGAGACAGCTATCACTAAGGTCGAGGGCTATCACATGACCGGTGGCCTCATCGCACTCTACGCCATCCCACGAGCAACAATCTCCATGTCCGTCTAGTGGCCATGATTGAACCTTTGGATGAAAACAGCGATAATCTGCTATGCTGGTTTGAAAACTTCTCTTGAATTCCATCAAGGCAGAGCTCTCATCCGGATGGCATAGTGGCTTAGCAAGTGAAGTATGAACCATGACGAGAAGGGCGCTCCAAGTAAGAAGCACAAAGAGTAAGGTTGCCATGACTTTTGTTTTCGTTACTGGAGTAGGTAAATATGCGCCAAGTGTAGTGCAATTGCAATTGAGAAGCTTTTATAGACAACGATAACCAGCCACATTCGACGAAAGTTCGCGCTACTTGCATCACATGTTATATGTGAAAACAGGCATTGGCCGTATCCCCACGTCTCAAGTTAATTAAAAAACTAATTGTTGACACGACTCGATGAAAATAGGATAGTCGACTTACAATATAGTTAAAAGTCACTTTCCAGATACTAACGTCCAAAGTGCCAACAACACAAGTCGTTGAGATCCCGGGAGGTACGTAACAGACCTTTCTTCGTAGCCATCTTTCAAATCTTTGAAATTTAAAATCTTTTTATACATGATAATATCTGGAAAGTGATAGATGGATCGATGCGTAAGACAACATCAGCAAGGGATGAGTGTGCTTAATCCCACCGCGTTGATCGATTGGTTAAGTAACTGATTTCCATACTTCAAATTTCACATTCACATCACTGTGTTTCCCATCAGAGTAATTTTGGAGCCAAGCCCGCCACCTTAAGACACGGAGTCTTACTCCTTACATGTCCTGTTCATAAGTGATCTGTCTTTTTTTTTTTGTTTTTTGACAGAGACCTTCATATATGCACTAACATTGTTTCCTTACGAGAGACGATCTAAGGACAATGTGGCAAGTAGTCTCCGAAAATCAAGCCTATTAGTAAATGATATAACTTATAATAAGTTGGAAGATGGAAAAGTTTTCTTGATGCGTGTAGCACGGGTTTGTCTGCGAGCTTCTAGTCGTAGTTGCATGGTCCACTGAGACCGCGTTACACATCTGTGCCAAAAAGAATAAATACAAAACGAAAACCAAACTTGAAAATTGCTATAAAAAAAGAAAGTAGCTTTCGAGTCTTTGAAATCGGCAAACAATTAAATGGATTGACTAACAGTGTTATCTAAAGGGAAGCATCAAGATGAGACCAGTGACGGTGCCAGAAAAAATTGTCCAAAAAGTCTCAAACCTATTGTACGGTGGCCAATTCAGTCTTAAAATTTTTAGTTGTGTCAATTTAGTTCTAAGCATTTTGACGATTTATCAATATAATAAAATATTTTGGGGAATGGGTGGGGCTATGGCCCCTGCAAGTCCCCTCCCCGGTCACTAGATAAGACTTTAGGGCATGTTTGGTTATCCGGAGTGCGTGAAGCCATTGGAACGAGAATGAAACCCTCATTCACTTTCTCGATATCGTTTTGCAAATTCAAATGAGACGAAATATAATGGAAGTGGAAATGAAAGCTACTGCATTACTGCATCACTAGATAAGACTTTAGGGCATGTTTGGTTATCAGGAGTGAGTGAAGCCGTTGGAACGAGAATGAAACCCTCATTCACTTTCTCATATCATTTTGATAATTCAAATTAGACGAAATATGATGGGAAGTGGAAATGAAAGCTGCTGCATTACTGCATTTTTATTGATATAGGGGAAGATGGAATTGAGTGAGAATCAATTGGGAATATATTAATAAAAAAAGAGGCAAGCAGGCAACAAAAGATCACCAATAAATCCGACATATTAGCCCCAATTCGTCAATGCCCATTTCGAACGGATGCCCTTAAAAAACTTCCTTCACACTCTGTCATGCGTTCAGCAAGGAAGAAATTCTACGGCACTCAGTCTTTTCCACACCCAAGTGAGCGCACCAAGACAATGAAGAGATCCAAACCTGTGCGTGACCCAACAAGTATTGTCGTTTCAGGAAGATTTTCACTCCTCAGCATTTACAATTCAGTCAACCGCTGTCCTAGAGCCACTGTGCTCGAGCAAAACACATGACATTCTATCAGTCCCTGTGTCTTTTCTTCTCCTTTCTGCGCAATTGTAGCTGTAAAATATTTTCCCAGACAACGAGTTTCGTCCACAGAGAGAGACCCCCTTCATTGTTTTCCTGGACTCGGTCGAGAAAAAGAAAGAGAAGCGAAGGATGCCAAGACGGGTGTCCCCTTCTGTTGGTTCGCCCTTAACAAACCATGAAAAGAACCATTCTCAATGTCTCTTACGACCAGACGAAGCCATTCCAATTTCGATAAGGAATGGTGTGTCGTGCTGTCGGATGCGCTTTTAGACTCTCTTTTTGTTTCGAGACCGAAAATACTACATGAAATAAATTGACGAAAATAAAATCCAAACCGTCAAAAAGATATGTTGTAATTCCGATGTGTCATTACATGAAAGTAATATTAAATTAATTCTTATTCCGGTACCTCACGAGTCACTGCGATTCCTTTTATCTTATTCTGATTGTCTCATTGCCTATGTCATTTCCTATGCACCTAACGGAGCTTTAGGTTTTATGGGATCGTTGCGTAAGTTTAATTCCTCGCACTTCTCGAGCCTACAACAATAGCTTACGCTTACCAAGCCTCGTATGCTAAAATAGGGCGACAGCAAGCAAGCTTTCCCCCCTTCGTTTGTTGTGGGTCACGCCTCACCGCAGCCTTTGAATGAATGAAATGAGTGGCAATTCGAAAGATGTTAAGAATGGCATTGCCTCCTATCGAGGAGAAAGAGCCAGCCGTAGTCCCACTAACAAGGGCCAAGCCTTCGAGAGGCATCCTTATTACTAGGGTTTTTACTACTTTTCTCAGATAGGGATCTCGCTAGCCTCTCCTCTGTAAAACTAACTTTTAAGGAAGCAGATGAGCTATCATCTGTGCAAAATGTTAAAAGAAAAGAAACCGAGTGCCTCATCCTTTATGTCTAACCCCCAAGAAGGCATTAGACGAGGCAATTATCGATTTACTCGTGTAGTTGACAAGTGCTGCTTCCACCCGAAAATGATAGATGTCATTATTAATAAACAAGCACTGCTAATGCACTTGTACACTCCTCAAATCGCAGATTACAATAAGTAACAACAACTCTTAACAAAGAGGAGCACAAGTGAATAGAATCATGATTAAGGAGAATGACCGTATCGGTGTTTGTAGCTTTCTCAATTTTCTGTACTTCCTTCAGCTTGGATTGAGTCCCCTATATAAACTTCAATCTCCAAACTAGCCGTGGAGAATCTGCAGGAGGATCAAAAAGTTGTTGGAAATGATAGACACGATTACCGATATCTGGTCGCTCCTATCAGATTTTTCTAGCAATATTGTGCTTTCCCCAAATAGAATCAGCTACTCTCGATAATTGTCTGTTCTCTGATAGAGCGAATAAAATTAGCAAGAACTGATTCGATTTATCTTTAGTTTGTGTTTTTGGAATTCCAGGCCGTTGAGCTAGCTATTAATGCTTTTGACCTATAATTTAGTCAAAAGAATATCTAAGTCTCCTTATCCAAATCACGTGATAATCATTTTCTGAGAATCAACTGTTGGGGAGAACCGCGGCAACGATTCACCAAGAACCAAGACAATCCAGGATCAATATCTCCCCCGAAACTAAACCAACCAAAATCGACTTAATTCCAACAACAACCCACTATATTCCAGCAATATAAGCTCGCAATTATAAGGAAACAAATGCAACAATCAACACCAATATTTAACGTGGAAACCCAAAGTGGAAAAAATCACGGACCGCCCCAAAAACTTCCACTAATCACCAAGAATAGTAGGATACACCAAGTTCTTCTCTAGTCACACACTAGAGGCACAATATCAACATTACAACATTATTTTCATCACCACGAAGGTGGATTTACATAAAACGGAGAAGAAAACCCTAACCGTGGTTGGAGAGTTCAGAGGAGATTCTCAACGAACGAAACCGATCAACTCGTAGCCCTCGGTCTCACGAACAACATACTAAAATTTGAGCCAATTCCAACAACGTTTGGCCTTCGAAATCGGACCGCGAAGATGCGCTCCTTTTCTTTCTTTTCTTCCCCTGCACTCTCGGTGAGCTCTCGGTAAAGTCACTCTCTGTTTTTCTCTCTCATTCTCACTTGGGCACACACACACACGAAGCAGCCCCTCTTTTGTTCTTTCTTTTTCATTTTTGACTTTCTTTGTTTTGTTTATTTTTTGTTTAAGTACTAACTGGGCCCCACATAAGGTGGACCTAGTCAACAAATCTCCCCCTCCACCTCATGTGGGAAGATCCATCATGCCCGCTTTGCTTCTACAGGAGTCAAGTTTCGTCACGGGTAAGACCTTGGTCATCATGTCGGATCCATTGTCGTCGGTGTGGACTTTCTCAAGCAGGAAAAGCTTCTTTTCTAATTTTTCTCGAACCCAATGATACTTCACATCAATGTGCTTCGATCTTGAATGCAACACAGGATTTTTGCTAAGATAGATAGCACTCATGCTATCACAATATAGAACGGTCTTCTCTTGCTTCAAGCTCAACTCTTGTAGGAATTTCTGCATCCACAAAAGTTCTTTACCTCCTTCGGTAATAGCGATATACTCCGCTTCAGTCGTAGACAAAGTAACACACTTTTGCAATCTTGACTGCCATGAAACCGCTCCCCCTGCAAAAATCATCATGTAACCTGATGTGGACTTTCGAGAGTTAACATCACTGGCATAGTCCGCAT